ATGTATCTATCCGAATGATTATACCTGTCCACAGCAATTGTCTCTTTATTTAACTAAGAAACCAAATTAAAAATATACTGAATAATATAATTGGAAATACCATTGTAATTTAGCGTTGACTCAGTTAGCGGTATAAGTACAAGTATACGATCATAAATTATTTAGTTGAAGTTTAAGTAATGATAGTTGAGTTAATTGTGGCAAAGCTATCACATTTAAGACGTAGCCTACATTAACCAAAAACATAACTTTCAATGTATCTATCCTTTATGCATGCACGTATTATTAACCTGACTTTATTCGCTTCAACTCTCTTTCCGTTAAATGGGCATATTAATCAATATATAGTCAGATCTATTAAGAATGACTCATATAACCGCCGCCATGGGCATGGAGTTATGAAAAGCCTACCGATACTGTCACCCACGGTATACTGTTCTGCAACTACATGCACCTACTTAAACCAATATATTTGAACTATGGTAACATATAAAGAAAAATAATAACATAGCAACTGTGCTCTAATAGGTATAATTAGGTAACTCGGCAAAATATATTATATAACCTGTGAACTAAAGAGCAGTGTTACTTATCTAACGGAGTTGAGCAACAACGCCAACGGATTTACATCAATACCGTACGATATGTATTAAAGCTGCAGTATTTTACTAGGTAAGAAAGTCTCCATTGATGCATGATATAACAGATAGGTAGTATTTATTATACTAATAATTTGTCAGTTTTACTTTTGGGAAGAAATTATTCCTGAACTAAAATAATTCCAGTAACCTTCGATGCATGAAAAATTGAAAATGAATGATACTTATACACTGATTGATACAATAACACGTGCAATTGTATAGTGTACATAAATTTCATGATTTTTGCATCAGCATACAATAGGATTATTAGATGCCTCGCGGCAGATATACAAATTAACCAATGTCTCTAAGACGTTATGTATTTCAGGAACTTTCCCAATTAACTTGTTCAATTATCGTAGAAAGGCGAAAGAACCATATAGTATCTCTAAACTAGGTTTAAAAACACGTAGTAAGTTCCTGTTCTTTAGTCTTTAGCAATTTTGCTAGTATCGCAACTGGTCAATTGTAGAGGCCAAAAGACGCTCCATTAAGAAAAAAAGCAATTATAAGCTTTTGACAGATAAACGAGAAAAAAGTTCGCCAATTAACCTCTTATTGAACTTTGTACTTCATACATACTTTGTATGTACTAATTGCTAATCGCCATGTTGCTTGCAATGGATCGGAATAGAAAGCCTACACATATGGTATGCATATAATGGCGAAAACTATTAAATTAATATTGATTCGGATAACCACTAAATTGATTTCCTTCCTTAATCCATTAAGCAGTTTATTGTTAGCCTTGTTTGTAGTTTACACTGGACATTTGAACGTCATGATCCATTTTTAAACCATTAATTTATATTCGAACTCTATAGTTTGTAATTTTTGGCTGACGACCGAGAGCGTGCGGCAATTTTGCCTGACCGCGATAAAAACATCCCCTTGCCTGGATTTTCCTGATAAGGATTAAATGTATCATTCTAGAAATTACTAATACAATAAATGTGTGACAGCGTAGAAGAGAATTGTGTAATTAAAAGTCCATCGGGAGTTTTAGACGTTCTTATAGATATAGTTACAACAACAAAGGACAAAGGTTTTTACCGTCTTGCACGTATATACAACGCCTCGGTTTAAAGCCGCCACTGGTTCTCGGCAAATTAATTGGCTTAGTATAGACCTAGAATTATAAGTCTTCTCAACTTGGCCTAGCTAACTTCACAAAACTGAATTAGCCATTAGGTTCGGATACAACGAATAGTACATCGCAAGTTTTCTCAATGTTAATTATTATTTGAAGGAGCTTTTTTGTTTTCGCTATCTTCTTCGTGTTGTCTTTCTATATACATACTAAAGTTCCCTTTTATAGTATAAGGGACCGATGCCAAGCATTTACTGTGTATATTGTGTGGTCGTCATTTTGGGAGAATATGCTTTATCTATCAGTTCTTTGCTTTAAGTGTTTATCCTGTAACAAAAGGCATCATATAATTATCGAGTGTTGACACTATTTTCAAAGAAACATGCATATAGCTGACGTAGCTATTTACTCGCCCTAGCTGTATGTTGCAAAACAAATTTTAAGTTATTCAAAAACTAAAATCTGACTTGATTTAAAGTTGGTTTCCGCTATAAATGAAATATTTCTGATGACAAAGACTTGCAGATAATATCGTGACTTTAAAAGAGACTTAATTTCCCTCCCAAACGCATTTGATTAAAACACACATTAATAAAGAAACTTCTACAGCTTAAATGAGCGTTGAAACGGCTCTATAACTATGGAGCTTGAGCATCGCAAATGGTCACTGTGGCGAGCGACTAATTCTACAATTGCCGGAATCTCAGCTTGTGGTCGCTCCCCCAAATGGGCTACTGACCGTGTTAAAATATCAAGTGAAATTACCATAATTATATAGCCATATAATCCTTTAAACATCAGGATGAGAAAAGGATACACAATATATTGTGACCAGTTTATGACTTTCGAACCAATTAAAATGTTACTGCTTCAGATGTTACTGCCTGGTATCATTATCTATAATACCACAACTCGTTGGTTGTTAAATATCAAACTGACAAATTGTCCAGGTTTATTTATTGTTTTACGTGGCGTCCACTGATAAATGACGGCGAGGTTAATTGCCTGTAGACCGATTTACCTCCCGTAAACTTTGCGTGTGATAACGTCAGTAAACGTTATAACCTAACAAGGAACTTGGATGTTTAGCTGACGTACACTGGTAAAACGCATGGGCAACAATGCTCAATTTATAACCTGATGCGTTTACCAACGCTATGAAACACTCAATGGGAATTTTGACTGCATGCGATAGATTACTAACAACATCTTCAATTCATGGTTTCTGTTTCAACTGACGAGATAAGATTACGGCTTGGAACATACGAGAAAAATGCAAATGCAGCCAATGCGTGCTAGTGGCATAGCGTTACAGTAAACAGCCCGACCCCACTGTAAGATGGCTGTATTTTTCTGCTGAGAATAGCATCCATATTTTCACCTGCTAAATATGTTAGAATACGAAATTTACTCCGGTCATTTGTACACTACACTTGTACAAACAAATGCGGCAAAGTAGACCAATTAAGTCGAAAGGAACTCCGAGTGATAAAGACAAGAGTTAGTTCCTTAATTCAATAATTATCTCAGAAAACGCAGGAATGCCATAAGATTTAAACAGAACAATTAAGATGTATCTGGAAACTGGAAACGATTTCAGCTTATAAAGAGATACACTGTCGCCCGTATTCTAAAAGCTCACTCACATTCAATGAGTGGAGGTTCAATCTGAGCTTCTCTTGAGTGTCAATGCTGTTCTTGAATAGCTGGAGCGTTAGTTTCGTACCTTACTATGTGATTACTCACCCTCCAGCTCATTCAAAAACAGCATTGACATTCAAGAAAAGCTCAGATTGAACCTCCACTCATCATGAATGTGAGTGAGCTTTTAGAATATACAGGTGTGTATATGTGTAATGTGTTAAATTAAACAAATAGTGTGTTATATAAATATATCAGCCGCGTATAGTTCGCTAATATTTTTAGTACATCGATTCTCAAACTCTCTGGAACGCAAGGTGTTATTTTGTTATATTAATGTAGGAAATGTAACGAATTATGTCGCACTGAAGGTGGAGTTGCTTTTAGTTTCATTCAATTGTCTTTTCGCCCCGGAATCTAATCATTTCATTGAGACCGAACAGACATCAATTATTGATTCAATTAACACATTCTGCTAACTGTTGGATGCATGCAAATGACTTCCCTGTAGTCTGGAAGTCACAGAAAAACACGTACGGAAATTATGAGGAGAGCGGCAAAAAAGGGAGTGATTTACGTCCTAATGCGATACAAACACCCCAACCTGAGGTGGCACCGTCATTATACTAACCATCGAGTTTCTGGTGGCGTAGATTTGCACAGGATGAGCACTAGAAGCATACGTTGTTGCGAAATTGTCGACCTATGCTGCGTAAAAGCTGCAGGGTTTTCGTTTTGTCGTCTTATGGATACTGGAGAGACCAATTTTGAAGTATACTGTGTGAGTAAATTATCATGCTGTGTCTATAACGAGCGCTACTGACAAAACATTATCACAACCGTCGGGCGCGCGATAGGTGGTCCTATATCATCCTTATTCAGACTTTTTCAATTTCCTTCCATTCTCTGGCATAACTTTAGACTCTTTGGAGAAATGCAAATACCCTGCAGTTCCGTGCTATACAAAGTAGTTTCGCCGGCAGCATGGCAAACGCTTTTGGGAGATTAAAGCACTGCTGCTCCACATACCGTGCACGCCTGGCTCGCTGAAATAACAAACAATTTAATTAAGTTCATAATGAGATCAGGCGCTAGGCTTTTCACAATCGTATTAACACTTTACCGTCTAATTTTAAAACGTTTAAAGCAGTCTGTACTAATAAATGCGTCACAAACCGATTCGCTTCATGCCGCTAAAGGACTATATAGTACCATAAAATCTTGGAAAATATATAAACCACATTGCTAGACGTTTCCTTCATAAAATACTAACCAGTATAAATCGAGTAACTGATTGCATTTCGTGTAATAATCGTTGAGGATATAAGGTAAGCATCGTTAATCAAATTTCGTGAGTATATGCACAGGCGGCTTAATTAAGCTTTTACCATACAAGTAAAGTTTGCATAGTATATATTGACATTTGCGACAATCAAGCTTTGTGTCCACTTATGATATATCCGCTCACAGACGATAGACACGGCAGCTTAATAATAATTGGGATTTGCCATCTAAGGTCCTCCTTAAGTGACATAATGAAGGACTTGTTTGAGTTTCGCATCCGCGTAATATGTGCATGGGCATGGCGTGCAATATATATATGATGAAGGTATTATCTGCGCGAGCCACACATGCGATAACAGTCAAGCCCCGAGCTGACATTGAGCCGCGATTAAGGGAAATTAAGGCTTATTAAATATAATTAATATCGTTTGATTAGCTTGGCGTGGCTTGCCATCAAGATAATGTCAACATAGTCCAATAGGATCGCCAGGCATGGGCAAAATCGCATTAGCGCAGAAAGGTTTTTAATAATGGCGTGATGTTTACCTGTCATCTCTTTCTTTCACAGCCAATCAGTAAGAGACCGTGTCGCACAAGATTGCTGGGTAACCTCATAATCGGATAAGAAGTAATCTAAATTTCCCATGGCATAAGGCCCTTCAAATCGAGAACTAATTAACGTCGAAAGGCATTGTTGCTGGCACATCGAGCTACTCGTGAAGCGAAATGAACGTTGAACGTAAACCACATCCACATTCCATAGAGGTTATACTAGGGTTAACGGAAACTAACAAACGAAACGCACAGTCATTTCGTCCATATTGCAGACGGAACGATGAAGAGGACAATTCAAATGGCTCGCAGTATAGTGAAAGCTTTTACAGAAGACTGGTGCCTCGATTAGGCCTTGTTCCACGGCCGCCTGTGCTAGAAAGCACTGAGTTTACTGGAAGAACATTCATTACTGAACGGAGGCCTGGCGATTCCGTGTTCAACAACTCAGCTAATATCAGGGGCGACGAGGAAGTCGAACGGTATCCGTGTAGGAAAAGTGTAACAACAGCAGAAAATAATGTTTCAACACCGCTGGATAACCGAAGGATGATCGAGTTTGAGAGAACCATGCAGCCAGGTAATACACAAAGTTTGTTTATACTCTTCCGTGGAGTAACATCATCTCGAACTGCCTTGTCTTTTAGCATCGATCTCTACATAGACAACTGATTAGCGACGTTTACCTTAGTCTATGCTAGCTTTGATACCAGGTAAATAAACTTAAGTGGCAATTAAATATACTGTTACTGTCTCATATGGCTGTAAAGATTAATCCAACTAATCCATTGAACTTGGTGGTATAATCTTGAACTGGCTGTGCCAGTGTAGCTATAGTGCCAGTAATAACAAAACTTCGGTTGACAAAGATGCAACTACCTGAAAAATACAAGGAGAAGTCGCTTCGTTGGGAAGTTAGTTATAGGGCCTCCTTGTTCCGACGAAGAGCCTTCGCTCGAAACGTCGAAGTTCTCCTTGTAATTATCAGGTAGTTAATTCCGTAGTTGCATCCGTGTCAACCGACGTGGTTGGCGTTTCTGTGCACATTTCAGTCTTTAGATGCCACGAACGATATTATGGCGAGTAAAAAACCTTCTTTAGGATAATCTGAAAAGGATTACTCATGCACTTTTTGTACAAACATTCGTAAAGAAGACCTTGTTTTGTGCTTCCTGATCGCTTTCTACCATTCGGGTAGATAATTACTGTATATTATAATCTATACCAAACCAGAATCGGTTTATAAAAGTGTGTAAAACAAATTCTGCGTAAATCAAATTCTCAAACTGAAACGACCTTGAATTTATAAGGGTAGAGTGCTTTTATTTATATAAGCCTGATTGCTTATAAACATTGATTTATAACTGCTTAGATATATACAGAGTCTATGCTAATATGAACAAGATTGTACAATATGGACAGTAATATACAACAATTAGTGTTGTTCAGTATATAGAGACATGTGCAGTAGCCAAATTGGGTAAGATATAGCACTATATCTTTACAAATTGTACAAATTCAAGGCACCTTTAACATTCCCAACTAATTTAGTTATTTTTGTTATTCAAAATGTAAGTTCTGTTCGAAAGTTGAATTTCAGTATATAACGGCTGTATATTATGTCAGCGCGGACGTCAAAGTCTCGACATAAACGTATTTATCTTTCCTATTTTAGCTAATTTAGACGAGCTTGACAATGTGTTGCTACAAAAAGACGGCGACTACTTTCACAAACAAGAAACCATTGAAGGTTGCTTAAAACAACGACGACGAAGGACGGCATTTACAAGCCAACAGCTGCTTGAACTCGAACGAGAATTCCAAACAAAGAAATATCTTTCAGTGGAAGAAAGATCACAAATTGCGTCGGGTCTGAAACTTTCTGAAGTACAAGTGAAAATTTGGTTCCAGAATAGACGCGCCAAATGGAAGCGTGTGCGAACTGGTTCTTCTGGCCGTTTCAATAAGCATAATGGTAGTTCAGGAAGTCGAATAGTCGTACCCATCCCTGTCCATGTGAACAGAATAACAGCGCGAAATCACTTACATATTTCGTAATACGAATGAGTCAGAATTCCTCTTGGACTCCTGAGCATAAGACTCCATATCATTTCGATTAGAAATTTAAAAAAAACTGTATGCAATTTATATTTACATTATCAGCGAAAGAATTATTATGAACCCAAAGTCAATTGAAATTTTTTTATACACCGTCGCAACGGTACAAGTAAACCTGCCTGTACAGGCGCGATACCTATTTTATTGGACGTTTTGTCACTCATATTAATTTCAAAAACATTGAGCTCAAGTTCAATAGTTCAGACTCGAGTTCAGATGCAAGCTATAAACTTTGATAAGCTATATATAAGCCTGTAAAGCTAGCACATGTACGCCATGCATATATATAAATACAGAACCGTCTGTGCCAGTCTAGATACCGTATAGTTCCAATAATAAGGAAGCTTCGGATTAATAGGGATGCAACTACCTGAAAAATACAAGTTGAGATTCGACGTTTCGAGCGAAGGCCCTTCGTCTAGACGTTCTGGTACTAACTCCCCGACAAAGGGCCTTCGCTCAAAACGTCGAATTTCTCCTTGTATATTTTTCATGTATAGCTGCATCCTTATAAATCGGAATTAGCTCTCTCATATATAGATACAGTCTCTCATCGTGAAGAAGCCACATGTTTCTTGACGGTAATTATAAGTTGCGACATGGTTGAAACAATATTATTTTGAACACATGCAGTCAAATTACCGATTTCGAGTTTTATATATTATCATTTCTGAAGTGGCAGAAAATTTTGAAACGAAAATTCCTTCCACTTAAAATTTGATCTGATGAATGCAATTTATCAAGGGATTGACGGTTCAGTTCAGTTTCAGAGTGTCAATTATGCATTCGGTATTAAGTACTTACTAATTGAGATTAACTGCCTTGGCAATCAGGTCAATTGCATGCGGGAGGTTGCTAAACTATAGCTCATATTTCCATTTTCAGCTGACAATTTGAAAAGGTATATAAAATAAACAAATTTCTTGGATTTTCGGGATTTGTTTTACTTCATAATTCGTTTACAGACTGTACAGCATTTAATTAAACTATATATCCTCATATGGCGATTACGAAATTGACAATGGGAATCTTTTCTATAGATAAATAGCAAGTTTCACATCCTGTTTGCTATACTTATTTGTACATACATCAATAAATATTTTTGTACACTTGTATAATAAAATACGAATTAGATATTCCCTTTCTGCGTGTTTTCAATTTACAAACACTCTAATATTTTTTTAATTTTTTTTTTATTAACTTTACAATCAATAACATATATTAACAAATGATTGGGGGAAACTAGGACAACAGATCTTAAATAAGATCCAATTAAGTCCTACCAAAACTATTTCTACTAGCATGCATAACATGTTTATTAATCTAACTAACACTTTATCTGGCTAGAACCGTCTTTTGGTCTTAACAGAGTATAAATGTTGTTTTTTTCATTTTTAGAGTTTTTATGCTAATTTTCACAGTTTACACGTTTAAGAACAATAAGTAATGTCAAAGGAGCGACACTTTGTACACAAAGATTTCCAAGTTTTCCAATAATATTGACCTTTGTTATTGACCGCTCTATTCCTCTTATAAAGACAATAAAAATTAACTCAATGCTCAACAATTTAGCATAGGTATAGTACAAAACAGGAAAATATGTCATGTGCTTCCTATACATGTATAAATAGATACTGAAGTCGACTCGCTTTGTAACAAGTATATAAAAGAGTCAGCGAATAAAAAAAATCCGCACTTTATTAACGTGAAAATTTTCAGCTCAAGCGCGCAACTAGACAGCAAATTAATGCATTATATACGAGTCGACTTGCATAACGCGGTTATGAATATACATATACAGGGTGTATAAAAAAAACTGAACTCAGATTTGAAATTGTTCTCAATTTCGCAAAACAGCTATTAGTATCCAGCTTTTGATAGATATAGTTCTTTGGGTACTTATAATGTAGAATAATGAAAAAAACTTATCGAAAGCAAATTTTGTAAACTAAGGGGGGGGGGGGGGT